TAATCTCAATTAATTTAAGTATTTTATGGCTAATCCAAATTAATTATAACGATCACTAGACATAATAACTCAATTATAGGAGAGAACAAAAATAAATAAGTAAGATCTTTCATACAATTGCTTAACTTAATAATAATATTATAAATCAATTTTAATTTATGCACAAATTTAATTCAAAAATTAAATAAATAATAAGGCATAATAATCAATAAAATAAAGTCATGTGTATATGAACATAACTATAATACAGTTTAATAAAGTAGCCTAGTGGTAACATTCATGAATGCCATGGATTAGGACTTAAGATCAATACCCAGTACATTTCGATTATTGTTCTTGCCGTAAATCACATTTAATACCCTTTTCAGAACCAAAATCCCAAAACTATGGATCACAAAAAAACAAATGCATTCAACATAAACCTCTGTGATGGCGTTAAACCATTATAGAATGTTTCCAACTGAATGTAAATGGGAATGCAATGGTGGGGCATCACCTCTTCATTTTTTAGACATTCCCTTAGAGAATAAGAGAATAATATGAGTTTGAAAGTGTCATTCATGATCGAAGGAATTTTGAAGTTACTTACAACCTCCAAGAATTGTATTAAGTGCAAGTTTGGACCATTTGTTGCAATACTCGAAACTTTCCAATATCTTGTAGCATAAACATCATGGGTTTTAACTCGAATCGTTCACTAGTGATTTTCGGTTTAATGATTCTTGTATTCATAGCGTTGAGATTAAATATGGCCAAAATCAATTATGCTCCTTGTTATGTCATTGGAAATGACAATGACATCTTGGTTTTCCATTACTCATTCTTATTCTTCATGATCCTCTAATTCCTTTTAAATGTGCTATGGTTCAAGAATAGGAGGTTATGGAAACTAATAGTTCATGTTTTGAAATCTTCTAAGGATTCTAAATGTTCTTTATGGCTTAGAGTCGGCCTATATTTAGGTAAAATCAACTTGTGCATACATGGCCACTAATGTTACACGTCGTTTTAAAAGAGGTCACAAAAAAATGTTTAAATAAATTAAATTATTATATTATATAACTAATTAAAAGTTTAATCATTAAATCTATAACAACGGCCTAAAAAGCTTACTACTGATGAACATGTGCAAGTATACGTAGTCAAATTAATAGAAAGTGATAAGAAAGTATCGATTACATGAGAATTATGTCTAAACATTTTGATAAATCATTTAAAACAATAAAGAAATTCTTCAGCTAAAAAGAGAATAATATTATGTAACATGCAACAAAGTTATAGAACAATAAAAAATAATAATAAGTATGAATAGTAGTTTGCAAAAATGTTAGACAATGATATATTCCATAATCTTATATAGTGTTTGTGGTGATGTGTGGTGTTTATCAACCATGTAAAAAATATACCAGAGTTCACTAAAATAATCTTGTGTTTAAGCCTTCATTAAAACCATTAAACTTCGAGTAAAACATGCCTAGTTTACCTATATGTCTCTAATCCTCTATGTATAAAGTGATTAAGAGAGCAATGTATGTATACTCGCTACTATATCATATTAGTTATTGAGATCCATTTTATAAGCACTATCACGACTTAATAAACTTGAATTTAACACTAAGATGATCAAACTCAAAATTAAACGTATGGCAAAACCATAGAAAAATTAAACTTAACATAAACCACATTCATTCACATTCAAAACACTACATGTTCATAGAATTTCACATTATCTAACAAAATAGGATAAATCCATAGTGAACTTAGCAACAAATACGTATTAAGATTGGATTACACATTTTAAAACAAGGATGAATAAAAATGATAAATACAAAGGAGCAGCAACAATCCCTTGCAATCTTTCAATTGTAGGTGACCTTCGATATCATGCCTCTTTTTCATCAGTTTTGCGTCAGAACTGTATATGAGCGCGAGAAGTGGTGGTTGTAACTTTGATTCATTTTTTTCTTAATTTTTCTCCAAATATCTCCAAGTTACCCCTCATGTAGGGTTTAATTTATATTTACAACTCCACTTTTTATCCTTGCCCTCCTTCATTTTATCCCGTTAGCATTGGCCTAAGAATAAGACATATTCCATTTATTGTTAATACTATGATAGTCCAACTGCACATGCATGACAAATATCATTTTTTCTTTGCAATTTTTCGTCCTTACTCATTCCCGTCAACTCAGCATAGTATATCACCATCTAGAATATTTTATTGTTCAACTTTTGTGTTGAAGCTTAAATGGTAAAGGAAATCATTTTCATAAATAAATAAATAGGGAGACATCTCTAATTGGGTCTTATAGACAATCCTATAAACCTATAAAGCATCATTAAAATGAAGAAAATAATATTTCCTAGTTGAGTTTACAACTTTTTATAGAATTCTTTTGATTTATGTATGGGATAGTTTAACCTACTCACTTGTGTGTATATGATGAATAGAAACTTTATATTTACACTATATTTAAACAATATATTTGTCAAACACCTTATTGCAAAAATAAATGCCTTCGTCATTGATGAAGTCTATAGTGAAAAGAAATTGTGAATAATCAAAGTAAACACAATAAATAAAATAACAAAAGAAATCACATGTGATGGATCCTTACGAATGGTTATGAGTCAAGAATTGATTTATTACCTCTATTAGTTAGTGAACTATGATTGTGGAATCATATTGATAACGAGTAACACATAAATGAGATCGTCTCTACTTAGTCCACATGAATATAATATACAATAATGAAGTCTTTTACATATAGTATTAGCTTTGAACGAACAAAAGGCTTAGGGAGAATAAAAACTTAGAATCCTTGCATGACTCATTTTAAGAATATGTTAATGAATGAATTTCATCTTAACATAAAAACTCTATTAATATAACCACTTATACATCTTGTAATTTATGGTGTATGATGCTCCTCTAATTAATGTTAGTGCATCGTATAAATGTACCACCGAATAATAAATTAATTTTATTCATTTATTTAATCTTTTGTTTATAAGTCACATGTAATGTTTCACTAAATAAAATAATTATTCTAGAGACTTTATTAATTTAAAAATAAATATAATAGAATTTTTTTTTATTATAAATAATTAATATTATTCAAATTTCAAATTCAATTACAGAATTATTTCATTAGCCTCTAGAACTTACATATAGAAAAATCAAATATAATTAAAATAATTGTAATGAGTTTGAAAATTACTCTGACATCATTAGTTAGAAGTGAGAAAATGCATCTTTAAGAATTGTATCTAGCATAGAAGTCTCTAGTGAATAGAGCTCTAATAACGAAGAAGACTCTTGACAAGTAATCCTCTAAAAAATCAAATAATGCTAGTGGTTCTGACACTGGTCATTGATGAAAATATAAATATTCACATTCAAAAGAGCTTAGCTAAGTGATGGTGATTGTCATGTAATAACTAAATTATTTAAGGAAAAAAAACGTGAGAGATCTCATTCCTCTTAAAGAGAAGAACACCATTGAAATCAAATGAGTGTTGAGAAAAAAGCTATGTGAAAAAATAGAAGTGGTAATAAATAATGATAGACTAATAGTAAGGCTATAATCATCGATAAGGTTTTAATTACATTTGAACCCTTTGTTTTTTAAAATAGTAAAAGTTATTAGTTGGAGTGTACATGAATTGAGTATATTCAATAAACCCGACCAAACTCACCATATCTAACCCAAAAAAACCGATTGAGTTATTAGATAGATATGATATTCAAAAATGAAGACACATTCAAAACAACTTGAGTTTTGAGTAAAATCAACACAGCCCACAAAACCCATGAATTATTAGATGACTATTTTTTGACTCATTTTTGTAATTTGATTAATGACAACTTTGATATGTTTAATCTTAATTACTTCAATTACATTCTCTTTAACATTTTTTTATTTTGTAAGGCATGAGTAACCAACTACCCAACACAATCTACAAATTCTCTTAACATATTTTTATTTTGTAAGGCATGAGTAACCAACTATACAATCTACAAATTCTCTTTATTTTGTAAGGCATGAGTAACCAACTACCCAACACAATCTACAAATTGTGGCTTTATTAAACCGACTCAATGATGTCACTTCACCCAAACTAATGTACCCTATATGGATTAGATCATGATTTTAAATCATGTACACCACTAATCCCAATATAATTAAGGGTCATGCTAGTTAAAAATTTCAAATAAAAAAATACATGTTTAATTCATTAAATACACATAAGATATTTTTAAAAAGTTATTTATTTATGTTTTGAGTGCATTAAATACATATATTTAAAAATAAAATAAAAACAAATCTTTTTAATTTTTAAAAAAATACTCAACTTACCTTTTTAATTTTTTAGAAACTCATTAACATTTCCTTATAATTAATTACCATTTTTTAATTGTTATACAATTATTACTTTGTATACTATTTCTAATAAATTTAATAAAAGTGTTTTTTTTTATAACTTAATTATATTTCTTAATCTAAGGGAAAAAAATTTAAGCAGCACTTCTTTAAAATGGAGAGGTTGGAATTTGGAAAAAGAAAGCCAATTGGATACTTCAACCGTTAATAAGTCAGTTGAATACTTCAACCGGACTCGCCATTTCAAATTCCATCTTCGAAACATCACAATAATCCACTAAAAAGTTATTAGTTGTAAATTGAATTACATGAAGAGGACTAAAAACCACAGCAAACTTTTTTAGAATATAAGAATTAACAAAACTCAAGCATATACATCTGAAAACAATCAATGATATTCATGCATTAGAGAATTGTCTATAGTATCTATGGCCTCTGCATATATGCAAGAAAAGAAAAATATTCAAGGATCCATTGATAATAAGTAGAAAAAAAATTGTGATTTAAATAAGACATTATATACAAAATACAAGCGTTTTATAAAAGCATTATATCCTTTTCAAAATTGTAGCTCTAATTATAGCACGGGGCCAAGCTCTCCTCAAAGGGAAATAATCATTTCTGTGAATGCTCCATTTTGCAGATTGAGTATTCCCTCTCCATCAATAAAAACTCCTACAAGTACAATGGCAATCAACTAGTCAGGCCCAAATTGAAAAAATTGCAGTGCATGTGAGAGATAACTCAGTGTTATGGTGGTATTATCCTAAACAATTTTTTGCATCTTGTGATAATGAAATCAATAAGAAAATGGGTTTGCTCGTTACAGTTTTTATAATACTGTTTCATTCAATAATATAGAAATTATGTATTAGAACTTATTAAGAAAACACAATGAAAAGTCATTTTTTATTGAAAAAATTATCTATCCGAAGTTAATATATTTTGAGAAGAAATTGTATCTTGCCTGTAATTGTTGCTGACTGAACAAGTCAAGAAAGCGAGTTTCAGGACTGCCAACGAGTTCAATCAAATTATCGTGGGAATCTGGCAGGACTCCTGATCCCATGAGAGAAGCATAAACCTGTAGATGAGACAAATTTGACAATAAATAAGTGAATTTTAAAAAAGGGAATATTTTCTACTCTAAATTTCTTATTACACATTTAATTTAGAAAACCATTAACCACTCAACTAATCAATGATGTCCAGAGTGGTTAATGAGTAAAATCTTATCAACCAACTTTTCCTGGAGGTTAGAAGTGTACTTAAATTTATTTTTTCATCAAGAATTTCTTGTAGCAAGTTTGCCAACAAAGAAAAATTAATGTCAATGCCATCTCTTGACTTACTTGCATGCAACGAAGAATGACTTCTGGGAGACAGCACCTGCGACAAAGTCCTTTCACGATGTATGTTGCAGGGAAATCTAAGATGCCATTTTTGTCAGAATACCAAGCATCCAATCGGGATATTTCCATTGTAACTCCAGCCTGAAATCGAGGAAGCTCACCTACAATATGAAGTAAACAAACTTGTTGGATCTTTCACTCATTTTTCATACAGGTCTCTCATAGTGACACGCTTAAAACTGTATCACATATCCTTTTATGGAAGAAACGAAATATAATAATCATCTCACACCAATAATTTTCAAATCAGAAAATATTTGTCCCCACCTGAAAGTTCTCTCAATCCCAAAAGGTTTAGTGTTGAGCACTAGAACTATTTTACTTTTCTTATGCATCCCCTTCATGCAACAGTCCTTTAAGGTAGAAACATAAGCACAGAAATAAGCACACCTTCTACAGAAATTAATAGGATGCACTACAACTGAAACTTGAAAAAACACGCCCCAGATTGACAGTATTCCTCGCATAAGTTTTTTTCTTTGCTTCTATTTGGGAAACTCTCAAAAATGATACTTTAAATCAAATAGATGCCAGTTGCTTAATATTTTCCTAGATGCACATAGTTGAAGGAAAAAAAGTTGAAAAAACATGCTTCAGATTTTGACTGATATTCATCTCTTATTCATTTTTCCCACAGCATATTTTATTTGGGAAACTCCCTTAAATATGGAGTTTTACATAAAATAGAAGCCAATCACCTGATCTTATTGTAGATTAGCCACTCGGACATAGAAACCTCCATAAAAAAGTTTTATGCATCAAGAAATTCACCAACTAGGAGAAAGATTGCATAGTCTTAAAAATTAAATCAAACTACCAAAGCTAGCCACTGAAATTTGGTCCAAGGAAAGAAAAGAGCTAAATGATGCACATCCTTGCGAAATAACTTCCATGGACTAAATTGAGAAGCTCGTAATGCTACATGTAGTTTAATAATATTGTTACAGATATTTTATAATATTGTTAGAATATTACAAAATATCTTACAGTATTCTAACAGTTACCTTTAAAACCAGCAGCCATGATGGTGCTAAGAATACCACCGTCATTGAAATCATGTGGTCCAAGTCCATCACCATCTATTGCTAAGCACCGAAGAACAATATCAATGCAATAATTGTCCCTTGAAGATATAGAGACTTTCACCTGTAAAGTATTAGACCGTAAGCATAGTAGAAGTTAACTATTAATTTTGCAAGAGAATAACATGCGAAGAGTAAGCTGCTAAGCAAAGTATTAAATTTTATTGGAATTGCTTGAAATTTATAACCAAGTGACTACAATCAAATCTGCACCACTTATGACCAAGACACGTCACCTCCCACGTTCTCTTACTCTGGCGGCATCTCCGGGACGCGGGCGATAACATCCTGTCGCCCCTTGTGGGTCTTTACAAATATGTCATTACACTATTTTACTGTTATTTGTTTTCTAAAATTCTCGTTGAAAATTTATTATAATCTCTCTATATAAAAAGTCCGTGAATGATGAATAAAACATAACAACATTACCCTACTTTTCCTACAATCACTTTTTCATTTTCAAACAGTAAAGGTTGGACAAAGAGATTTATCTCTTTTTAGGAGCAATATCTCTGTAATACATCTCTTTTCTATCAGTAACACTATCTCCTATTCTCTTAATTTTGGGATTGTTTCAGATCTCATCTAAAAAATACTTTAAATAAAGATACAATAATGATATTATGAGTCATTTTCTCGAATTCTAGCACTCCCTCCCCATCTAGCTAAGGTTTACTATGCAATAAGCTGTCAATTTAAGACAATCATTATTACAATGCTATTTGCAGGCTTAAGCTTTCAATGATTGATTAAACTTACCAATAGTTGTCTATTTAAGACAACCTCGTCACCAACAGAAGAGTAGAAGGCACTTGTCAGTGTGGTGCATACAGTGGCATCTGGACACAAACAATCTCCAGATGGCAGGCAGAGCATTGCCGTTGCATGAAGTTCAAGGAAAACAGGTTCATCAGATTCATATACATTATCAATAGAAGCCAGCCACGGTGCTTCACTTCCTATATAAAAGAGAATCACAAATAAGTAAGGGGGCTAACATGTCAACTAACTCAATTTCAAAAACACGGTAAACTAGAAGTCTCAGGATTGGGTTGGGCCTAACTCAACCCTATAAAAGCAGCTTGTAAGGTGAAGAATGCCCCCACTTATAAACACAGCACAGACCATATCTCTAAGCACCGGCTTGTAAGGTGAGGAGTGCCCCCATTTATAAACACAGAACAGACCATATCTCTAAGCAATGTGGGACTAAATCCACCCCTTCAAAACCAACAAAGAAGCTGTAGGGGGCTGCAATAAAGGCAAGCCAAAGTGCCGCAATTAAGGCAACAAGGGGCGGACTGGAATTAAGGCGGAAATTATAACAAGTTTCATGATTGATGTGTTGCTAAAATTTTTGGACATTTTTCTCACATCATGGGTTATGCGCAAGGTTGCAAACTTAACTTACTTTCTAGCAGTGAAAGAGACGCAGTTAGTGTTTCCTTCGCTGCTGAAATAGCCCTTTCCTTTTCCTCTAGTGACAATTCAGAGACAGGAACTTCTGCATTCTCTAATTCAGTTTTAAGCCAATTGCGGTAGGTTGCATCACAGGAGTAATACTCACGCTAGTAATGAAAAGTGAAGTAAGAACTATTGTCAATCCAGAAAAGACGTGAGTGCATTTTAATAACTAAATTGGGCAGGTATAAGTCAGCATACCCATTCTTCGAACTCCCTCAGATCCTCAAAAACATTTTGATCCTCGGAGGTCTCAAGAGTCTCTGCAAGTTGTTTCAAGGGCTCGGCAAGAAAACCAAGAGCTGTGTGGGCACCTATTGGCATTGCGGGTATTCTCCACATAGAAATCAAGGCAAACTCCCTGAAGAGTACATTGCTACATGGAAGGGAAAAAAGGTTTAAATTCATAATGAGGGGAATATTAAACTAAAATGGCAAAATTGTAGGAATGCATTATATTTTCCATTAAGTTAAAAACATGTGCACTAACAGCCAACAGGAGGACTGGAAAGATCAGGTTCTTATTTAATACTTCAAAATTCAAATATCCATATTTTAAAAGGTAACAACACGACAAGTGTCTTTTATTTCCCACCGGTTGGGATCAAAAGCCAACTACAAATGAGAATAGGCACTCAACACACAAAATGTGAAAAAATTAGATGGAGAAATGGCAAACACTCCCAAGTTTCACTTCTTTCAATTGTTTCACCTTCACAAGCACGGTTTATTAGACAACTCAATTTGATGCACTACTTACCTATGTACCAATGCTCGAAGAAGAAGTTTTTTACTAACATCTTTGACATTAGTAATTGTTGATGGTGGTGTGAAGCAAAGCCACTGGATGACTTTAGCCTTTTCAAGACTCTGCAGTCTGTGCTGTTCTGCAACATCTGACAGAGTATCATATTTGCCATTCTTGATCTCTCGAGATCTCAACAAAACCCTGTTCCAAATAGATTTATTAAGAAAGGCAAAAGCTTCATATGCACCTGAACATCTTTTTGAGTAAAATTTCATAGATATTATAAATAAAGTCGATTTACCTCTCAATAATGTCTTCAAAACTACCCTTAGATTCATCCATCGAAGAAAATGGTAAATATTCCATAGCAGAAAGGAATATCTTGTATTTGACACGTACACTATTGAATTAAACAAACAACATAAGAGTTAGTTATAAAACCACAATGGAAATAGAGAAAAGAAATTGTTTGATTGTAAATGAAAAAATAAGATAAACTTCTCCAAAGGTATCCGTTTATAAACAGTTACCTTTTTCACAACTAAGATCTTCCCAATTCTCCAAAAAACATAATTCCCTGAATGAAACCCCGATCCTTAGTCCCCCTTATTAATTTATCGAACTAATCCCCTCTAAATAACTATTCTAACTGTTTGAATTAACTGCTATATCTTCCTTATATTTTCATGCAAATACTCTTCTTTCCAAACTGAGTTAGATATAAATCAAGGATGTCAAACTCGAGAGTCTACGAAAACTCATGGAATCTACGTAGACTCGTGAGTTTGCTTTATAGGAAAATAATTTTTAAAACATCAATAAAGTATATAAATATAAATGTCATGTGCATAGTAAATATTCAACATTATAATAAATATATCCTGACCCAGCCAGTTATTATTTATGAACGAATCACAAGATAGGTTCACAGCTCAGCACACAGGGCATAAAAGTTTAAAACTGATGGACAAAATGACATCTCGCAAGATTTAAAATCACAAAAGAGTGAAGTACAGTGGAACTAGGCTCCCTCTGTTGCAGCTGGATTCAGTTTGATGATAGAGCTAGGTTTATCTCATCGGAGTTGGGTTCATTGACCTTGCTCGCCTGATGCATTCGCTGCATACTTGCAATGATGGTTTTGTTTGTATTTATTAGTTTGTGACTTCATTAATGCTAGGAGCTATTGGGTCGAGATATAATACAGCATCATTCGTGTCCTTTGCAAACGCGTTCACATTGGAATGTTATATGCATATATGGAGTCTAGTGCTACACATGAGGTTAATGTTTTGTAATTAGTGCAATAAACACCCTTTCATTCAGCTGTTGACCTTTGGAATTTTTCAGAAAAAATTGAAACAATATATTGCACTCATGTACTGCAGTTTATATAAAACAAAAAATCGGAACAAAGTTCACTCAAATTTGATACGAAGAATTATAAACTCAAACGATTCTGATAATGTTCACTCAAATCTGTAGCTTATGAATGGTGTTCGGTGCATTTGGATGATGTGAAATGCCATAATATGATTATTCCCTCAGCAGTAGTACTTTTTAGTAACCTCGCCTATGGTGCACACTTGCTTTCTTATCCCTGGGTGGGATTCAAATCATGGCCTTATTTAAGTAGTTTCATTTAATGCAAAGGGACTGGATCCTCTTTAAGTCTTTGTCGTTTGCTGCTTTTTTCTTTGGCTTTAGAAGGATCCGGCTCTCAATCATAGAGCTTTGATTCCCTGATAATGAACTTTTTATCTAAGAATGTTAAAATATAATTAATATATGTTGATTCTTCCTGGATAAAATGACTTATCCTCGGAGCAAGTAGAGTCAGTTGTTAACTTGAATGTTATATTGCATGTTCACATGATCCTCAAACAGGATATAATCTTACTTCCTAAAAAACAGCCAAAGTAGTTCTACTGAGAATTACCAAACATACAATGACAGGATCTGGAACCAAGTAAGTTTAGAAGAATTTGAAGAACAGTGCATTGATTACAGCAGGAAAATACAGAAACCAAGCACAGTCTCAGATAAAGGAACCTACTCTTCCCTGTGGCAAGAGCCACAACAAAATCAACCCCAAGGATTTTGTACGCACTACACCCCTTTCAGTTTATATTCACACCTTTGCATTAACCCAGCAACCACATCTCCAATCTCTTGCTCCTACATGTCCGTTCTGTTACAGATTCTTTGAAAGGTAGATTTTGGGAAGAATGAAGAGAAAATAAATTAAAGAAAAAAATGTTGGATCTCTCTGGTCTAAATTGTGTACGAAAAGCGACCGGAAAGGGATTTTTGGGCAAGGTTCACTGAAAAAATTATCCTACACAAGCAAGATTTTTGTACAGATGGTGGAAGCATGTTTGTTTTCGACATACTAGCCCCTCGATTAATCGATTACCACAGTATTTTGGTTGAGTTAACAAGGTATTTTATAACAATAAACTCGATATCAATTGGTTACATTAAAACTTGGTCAAATACAATAGTTTTGTATATATTGTGACACACCAACTAACTGATTAGCATCATACATTAACCAATTTACTTAATGTGTGTGTATTATTGACTATTGATTACATACCGGTTTTAATCAGTTAGGAATGCCAAGCTACCAAGTCTGTCCAAGGGCAAACATGCTTCTCAACTTATAACTTACCACTCATCAAAATAAATAGCCTTTTTTTTTACCTATTTCTCTCTTTTCTCATTTCTATCCATCCAAACAATACATGTTTTCCACCTACCTTCTGTTCATTTATTGTTCTTTCCAATTTATTTATCTCTTGCTTCTTTCCTCCCTATTTATTTAACCAGCCAAATAAGTGTTACAAACATGCATGGCGAATTCCTCCATTCTATTTTCCAACATACCCTTGTTTCTTTTCTACCTATTGTGGCAGACCTTGATTAGAGACTCATCATACAACAAATAGATGTTACAGTAACATCAATAAAAGTGTAATCAGATCCTTCATCAGAGAGAATCATGTGATTATTGCATTAAAAAAGGGCAGACAGAAGGAGAGAATCAATTATACCTGCTGTGCAGCCTAAGTTCCATCATATGAACAAAGAGGTCTATGCAACGGTGACGTGCAAGCTGAGAAGCATATGTGCCCACCAGCTCCTCGTGCTCCTTTGAAAATAGAAATTGGGCATACCTAATTTTTCAAATTCAATCAATCACAGTAGAGAAGCAAAATTTCATTTCATTTAATACATTACACAGTTTTTCAGGTCCAACACATACTAGAAAGTTGTGCAATAATATAGAAGAATTATGAAACCATCAAGGACAGAGCGGCCATCTTTGATATTGTCAAGTTTTCCCTCTGAAAAATATTATTATTATTCAAGAGAAGTAAAGTGAAGAGCTTCATATAAAATTACTTACAGGTGTAAAATATGGTCACCAACACTCTGAATCTTGTCCTTGAAAGCACCCTTCATTTCATCGCCGAGTAAATATCTAAGCACGAGGACTAGATGTGCACCAAATCGAATCATCTGAGGATCTCCGTGAGGCCTGTGAGAGGCACAAAAAAATGTGGTCAACTGATTGCCATCAACTGGAAGGCCTTCTGAAAGGAAACTCAAAACCAGGTATAGTTTTAATAGCAATTGCACAACAGTACAACAAATCCTCCAATCCATTGGTAAAGTTAACAAGAAATGCAAATCCTAGTAATAGTAAGTGTTGGACTTTCCTCCTTAATTGCAGTCCACCCCTAGTCGCCTTAACTGCGGCTCTTTGGCTTGCCTCATTGCAACCCCTAACACCTTCGTCGTGTTAGCTTTGAAGGGGTGGATTTAGTACCACATTGCTTAGAAATATGGTATGTGTTGTGCTTATTAGTGGGGATAATCCTCACCTTACAAGTCGGTTTTGTAGGGTTGAGTTAGGCCCAACCCGAACTCTGAGATGGTATCAGAGCCTATTCTAGATCCATTGTTGGGCTTCCCGTATCGTCCACGCTTCAAGCTCATTGAGGCCTAAACATGAGGGGGTGTGTTGGACTTCCCGCCTTAGTTGCGGTCCGCCCCTAGTCGCCTTTATTGTGGCTCTTTGGCTTGTCTTATTGCATCCCCTAACACCTTTGTCGTGTTAGCTTTGAAGGAGTGGATTTAGTCCCACATTGCTTAGAGATATGATTTGTGTTGTGTTTATAAGTGGGGTCTTCACCTTACAAGTCAGTTTTGTAGGGTTGAGTTAGATCCAACCACATTTCTTAACAGTAAGCTCTGACCCGAAGGAAAGGTGGGTAAATAATTCACCACATACTCTAACTAAAAGCACCCAACATCTGCAAAAACAGCACACCTTTACAAAACATTATCTCATAACCCCCAACTAGAAATATTTCCATCAGCCCCTTCGTTTTTTTATTATGAAGTCCTCTTTTGAGAACTCCCTTTCCTCATCGATAATTTTTTTCCTATCATAAATATACAATATGAGAGAACATTACGGTGTTGTTTGACCAGACCAAAACACAGAACATGAGCATATTTATTATAATGACAACAACAAACAAATTTTATCCCACTAAGTGGTGTCGGATAAATGGATCAAAATATACTCATGTTCTACGTGTTTTGTGCAGATCATAATCTAGATTAAATTTTTTGATACAACAATATCATGTAATGCAAGTTGTGACTTCACCATAGAAGAATTTCACAAATTGAAAGGATCTGGGAAGTAAATTAAAACATTAGGATGTAAAATAAAACCATTTGACACTTGATAATTGTAAGCTATATTGAAACTGGGGTTTTACTCGAGCAAATCGATTCATACTAAAATGATGATTTATACATCCATTATGCCATTACAGCTCAATTCAAAGTAATCCAACGTGTTAATACTATAATAGAAATAATAGTCAAAAAATAACTAGAGGAAACTTATCTAAAATTTACAGTAAGGCTAATTTATTTAAAAAATGCTGTCATGTTTGTATCTAAATGTGGCATTGTGAGACCACGTTTGAAAAGTTATTGGTATGAACTTCAAAAACTTGTTACAACCAAAGACTTTTATATGTCCATCAGAGACACAGAATTGTGAACCCCGGAAAAAGAACTAGAACAAAAACTCACCTAAATACATTCTGATCATCTTCCAAGGGTGCTATCCATGACCATATAAGGTCTAGTACACGTGGTATGTCCCCTAGCATTAAGGTCATCTACAGGCAACATACAACTTAGGACATCAGTATCATATATAGAAAGAAAGAGTAAAGAAAATGTTTTTTCTTCTCTGTACCCAAAGTAGTTGTGCCGTTTATTTTCTTTTTATGTATAAAAAATTGCAAACAGAATAGCTAAAGATCACATCATTTGAGTAAAGGGCTCTGTCCTACCATGAACTGTTGCACATTTAAATCATATTTGGAATTGAAAGACCCCACTACTCATTCCTTATTTACTTTTTCTTAATATTATAGATAAAACGCTCTTAAATGTTGGAATATGAAAAACTACTTCAAAATATGATGATAAGAAACTCCAAAGAAATTATTTTCTACAGAAATACACCTGGAGTTGTCGCTGTTGCTCCTTGCATTGCCGCATAACAGTTTCATGGATCATTTCCCTAAAATAGAAACAAAACAGATATGTAATGTAATAGACAGCAACAAAACAAAGGCTATAAACGTGATAAGAATTGTACAGCTACCCTGAATGAAGTTTTTGCAGAAGAGATGAAAGTTGTCGTGGTTGTTGATTCAAAACCTGAATTGGCCAATTTTCAGGTCCATTTGAAGGATCAAAGGAAGCATCAACTTGTCCAGGACTTCGGTCAATTTCATCTCCAAGGGTTCTATGTTGATCAACTCCTCCAGGCAGCGCACGAGTGACTTCCAAGTCTACCTGCACATCTAGCCAAGACTTCGCCATTGCCCAGCATGCTGACTGCAAATGTTAGACGCTGTACTGTAAATCAAGTTCAAGTTTCCAACAAGGAATGTAGGATGATAAAAAGGATACGAGATTTACAGACGTTATGAAGGAGTAATAGAAATTAGAATATGACAATGAAGCATAACAACGTCTACCATAAAGACAATCCTTTTCACTTAGTTTAACCATCTATCTGTTCTAAAGCTTGCCAATAAGACACAAAATATAAGTATGAATCTTGAAGGTATTTTCTGACGATTATTGCATGAATGAATGAAAACTTTTGCAGTAAATAAATATAAGAAAAAAGCATACCTCCCAGTCTGTGCAGAGTGGAAGCATCCGCTTGAGGTTGCTGCATTGGGCTGCATAAACAGCTGCTTCATATTTCCCACCTAGCTCTGCTATTTTCTGCAAAATAAAGGACCAAATTGAAGTTATTAATTTTTATAAATAAAAACAATAATTTTGAAGCACGGAAAACCTGGAGAGGAGGGTATTAGTTAATAAAGAAACAGCACAAACATGACACGAACAAGAGCGCTATTTGATCAGTGTAACATGCCACTACCTCTGATGCACAATAGGAAGCCCATTTCCAAAGATGCCACTGATGACCAATGCCACTTTCAAATTCAACAGCTTGCAAAGTCCTACTTTTGCCATTCTTCACCAGAGCTTCAGCAGAAGGAAACAGACTCAGACCTTCAAAAGGACACAAAGAGGAAGCTCTCCATGGCTACAAGAAAATATTAAGATATTAATCATTGAACTATGGACTATGAAGTCCATAAACTTATCATATCGAAGTTATGCTCACCTGTCCAGCAGACTGGCAAATCCCGCATGCCTCTTCTAGCCTCCCAGCCCTTAAAAGAGTCCATACATCCTCTAGAAGAGATTCATCTTGTTTCTGTACCCGGAACGATAAACATCAATGACATTCAAGATTCTATAGGAACAATATCCATAGACAGATAGTCTCGCTCATCTATTTGATCATCAAAAATTATAACAGAAAACCACATCCAATAGCAAGGGCAGGCTCTTCAAACTTATCATCTACCCTTAAACATTGATAGGTAACTGGTTACAGAACCGTCTGCCATGAGCATACTTGAGCCATTAAATTTCAATAGCCAACTATTTGACATCTTATGCAACTTTGAAGGTTTTAAGTATACTTATTTCGATTCCTGACAAATGTATATTTAATCCTTACAAAATACACACATTTAAAGTCTAGTCTCTACATAAATTTTATTCAAGTTTAGTTTCTGCTTTGCTTTTATAAGGACTGCTTTTTAGTCTCTAGTGGACTAAAAGAAATCTTTGTTTGTATAAAGTTTTCAAATTAGAGACTCGAATTAAATAAAATTATGTAAGGAATAAGCTTGAAAAATCATGATTTTATAGACTAAACACATTTAACATTTAGATTAAAATCTAATAACTCTACAGTTAAATACACAAGTAATATAGACTAGCATATCCATTATAAAGCTTTATTGATAGACCCAAGTAAAAGCTGTAAAAGAATTGCAACACAATACTTTATCGTCGGGCAAAACATTTGCATTTTCGCGAGTCGGAGCATCAAAGTCCAGGTGATGAACAACGTTCCGGTCAGAAGTTGCTTTTTGCAGGTAACGTTGAGTATGATGCCAAACACCACTGCTGGGGAGATAACTACCAACATGAGATCCACGCACCTGCAAAAATGTAAAGGAAAGCCCAAATAGTTAATGTTCAATCAAACAAAAATACGTACACAGACCAGGAACATGGGATGGAACAGGTTTTACTTGAGAACATATTTACCCTTTCCTTTTAATTATTTTCACAACAACCAAAATTGTGACTTGTTGATGCTCCAAGCTAGTATTTATATACATACTCCAAACAACTACAAGCACTAACATGGGCAGTGCTCAAATATTTGGGCTCAAGGCTTAAACACAATCCCAAAAACCGATTTGGCTTATAAAATAAGGGCTCTACCATAAGCACAAACTTTTCCAGTGTCAAAAAGTTGAGTTTTAGGTCTAATTCAACCCCCACAAAACTGTTTTTGGCTTGTAAGATGAGGAATATCAGCGCCATATAAAATTATAGGCCCTATTTATGTCATACTTCTAGGCAATGCGGGACCAAACACACCCCCTCATACCGAACACGATGCAGGTACTGATGGCTACAATGTAGGCAGCCCAAAGTTTCCAGAATTAAGGTTGTTAGGAGCAAACTGCAATTAAGAAGGAGTACCAAAACACCCTCTCACACCTAGGGCTTTGCGCCTGAAGCTTGGACAAGGCAGATGCAGCAAGCCCAACAACAGATGTAGGATAAGTTTAGAAACCATCTTAAAATTTGGACTTTAGAGTTAAGAAATATGATAAACACACTCTTCTGAACACTCTTTTTACCACAAAATCTATGTTTCTTTTCTCTACGTGTTCAAACCACCTATGTCTATTTTCCACCATCTTTTCTTTGTCAATTTTAATCTTATCATGTTTAGTCTTACCACACATGACACATCTAACGCAACATCCTCATCTCTGCTACACTTGGCACTTTTATTCTCGTGTTGATTCTTAACCGCCCAGCATTTTGTATCGTACAACATCGCAGATCTTACCACAGTTCGATAAAATTTTCCCTTCAACTTGAGCGGTACCTTTGTGTCACATAAAATCCCTGAAGCTCTCCTCCATTTCAGCCACACCGCTTGAATTAGATGGTTTACATTCCCTTCTATTTCTCCATCATTTTGTATTACGGACCCAAGATATTTTATTTCCGACAGACTGCAACGAGTGTGATGTTATGTTCACCTTTATCATATAACTACAATGACAACAATGCATTTTCCCATTGGTGGCAAAGCAAATGAGTCCAATTAAAGTTTTAATACTTTTTCATAGACCATGCTTATATAAGTCAACTTCATATCTTTAATTAGTCTCATCCACACCCCCCCCCCCCCCCACCCCACAAAACCATTTAATTACCATTTGGTCTACCATGCTTCAACAGGTCTATAGAGAAAGAGAAAACATTAGTATTTTTGAATTAGACAAAAGTTATGCAAAGCCATTTACAGCCGCTTTTCTAATTGGTTAATCTAAATTTCTAATTGTCAATGGCTTCATTATGTCTATTTTCACAGCTAATTCATTGCTCAACAAGATCAACTTTTTCATAGACCATTATAAGTCATCTTCATATCTTTAATTAGTCTCAATCTCTCCCAAGTCATTTAATTATCCTACATTTGGTCTACCATGCTTCAACAGGTCTATAGAGAACATGAAAACATTAGTACTCTTGAATTAGAAAAAAGTTATGCAACGCCATTCACAGCCACTTTTCTAATTGGCTAACCTAATTTTTTAATTGTTGATGACCTAATCAAAGCCAAAAGATATCTAACTCTAATGTATTTATTGTTGACATTGCACCTAAATTTTTTAAATATAATTTAACTAATAATGGCATAATAATAACCTCAATAGTAGTGTTTAGTGTTTACACACTTTTATTTCTTTACAAATACTGAGGAGTTAATTTTTATGGTATTATATGTTTTTTTGTTACAAACCAAATTGAATAGAAAGAACTTTATTATGAAAATAGGAAAGTGAACCCTCCAAGGGTTTCGCCTTCACAATAGAATTGATACTTAATTCACTAAACTTAACAAATACTCAATAATTCAAAGACGCTCCCCCTCTACCCTATTGAGGGCTATTGAAAGACTTGATAATAGGCCAAACAATCACATAACAAACTAACCAAAACTAATGAATTGCTCTAATACTCCTAACTACTCTAATTCCCTTTAAATATATATCCTAACATTTTCAATTACAAAACTTTAATGCATTTGACTAATATGAATGCTTGCATTTTCAACGGTTGTTATTTGCCCTCAAAGGAAAACAGGAGAAGACATTTTGAATATATTAAGTGACTGGGTAGCCTGACAGCACTTTTTTCTTTCACATTCCCTATTAATTATTGATTTTATATTTTCACCTCTCTCTGGAGACTGGGCGTACCTCCTTGCTAACTTCAATGATTTTTATTAAAATTATCAGAAACAGCACCATACATACAGCCTTCAAGTCATCGAATTTGTACTCGTGGCTTCATTCGGAAAAATAAAAGTAAAAAATAACATGCAACTTATGAACAGATAAACTTTCCATGCAGTAAAGATAAGGAAATAATACCTTTGCTTCCAAGTCAAGTGCTTTAGAAGCTAAACCTTCCAACCACTGAACCATCCTAAGGCACAACTGAGCTGTGTGATCCTCTGCAACAAACTCACAGGCCACTACATGTGATGTTCCTGTCACCTGTGAGAGGTGAATAGATTTCAATAAGTTACTACATGGATAGGCAGAGATTATCTGGTCACATTAAGTGTATCACACAAACATTACCAGTATTTGCTCTTTAGAAAGCTCTTCCGTCACTGAAAAAGAAATTTAAAAATAAGGTTTTAGACAAAAAAATTGAAAGTATCAGCATAAGAGAACCCAGAGTAATCCAAAGAAAGAGTAGATTGAATTATGGACATAAGCTACAGTAGCACTCTATTCCAAACCATGGCTCCATTTGCATATGGGGGAAATGATTTTTCCCGAGAAAACTTTGATATTTATTTAACTGTGGTGAATTAGTGGTAAATACTAAAAGATTCAACCAACATGCAAACTCTATCTCAAGATTGAAATAAGGATAGCATTCTATATCATGTTAAGTTTTCAATATGTTTTGAATTAAAAAGCACGATGATCAAAACAGTAAGCAAAAACATCAGTGGTGTTGAGTTGGTCAATGAGTATGATATGGGTCAGTAAATTGAAGGAAACAGACATTAAAAACCAGACATCATGGAAGAATCAAGGATGGAGACATAATTAATGCTTAAAAACAGAGCATCCAAGGATAGCAATATATTTCCTTTCCCATAAAGGAACCACAAGAGAGACCATGTTGCTGCCTCATCAAGCAGGAGCTGAGCCTTCTGCCTCATTAGTTTGTCCTCGACAACTCGATGCCTTATGTTCAAGCCATACCTATAGATGAAAGGCCAAGATCATATTACCATCAAAGTAAGTTTGCAATAGTCAAGTACACACTATACATATTCACTTTATCCACCCTTCAGCTTAGCTTTTAGAGTTTAGGATAACTGGATAACCCTCATTTTCCCCTAATATGATAAGAATTAATTAAGGAACATGGGAGAAGCATTGAAGGAGGACACGGAATCATGATAAATGGACATGCCACGAGACAACAAACAAAAGAAGTTGCACTGATAATAACAGTAAAATTTCTTTAAGTTGCAGTAAGCTAGAATTTTACACTAGATATTAACAACAATGACCACACAATCTTTTTGAATATCACTCGTACTTTTTCAAATATGGATACAAAACAGCAGCGGTGTTGAACAACAGTGTGTACCCGAGTTTTTGGAAAATTGCCATGCCTCTGCAATAACGATATACCTATAATATACCCCCATACAACGGAAGCATCAAATGAGCTGTTAGCTCATTGGCTTCAGCTATACACTACTTTAAACTCAACTGTGGAAACAGAAATAAATTTTCTTAACAATTTTATTTTGACCTAGAACAGTAGTAACAAATGGATTTTACATGTTACGGTATAGTATTTTTGCAAGATTCAGCAAGTTAAATTGAAATTTTAAGGGAAAAAGTGTTAACTTTGTACTAGATAGCTTATTCTGAGCTTTTAATATAAGAAACAAAAATATATCTAAAAGTGTTTACGAAAAAGTATGTGACTCATGAATGTACAACTATCTTCATCCCCTAAGACGAATGATTGAATAGTTATATTTTCTTAATAAATGTATGTCAGCATCGATTCACTCTGCCGAGTTAGTGAGACTCAGATGACGTGTATAAAGAATGGTACAGAAAGTCATAGCAAAATCTTATTCATTGCCGTTGTATTTAACAATTTGCAACTGTTTCCTATATCTATAAATAGTCTTGTTGAGTATATTCAGTTATCAGATTCAATTCAGTTTTACTTTTTCAGATCATACAAAAAACCTCTGATTTTCTCACATTTTCCTTCATTTTCCCGGTGTACAAAACTTAAACAGAAGATCCACCCGAGAATTCCAATAAAGATGTTACTCAATAAATACGCAAATAATGAAGTCTAGAGCTAAAACAGCCTAAAATGAAAGAAAAGACGAATTCAGGTCTCTCAATCACAGAGATGGCGCATAAATGTCAAGATATAGAGCCTTTAGGCCAATCATGAGCTAATAAAATTACTCATGCATATATGTCATGAAGTTTGCATGATAAAATTTCTACACATATGATTACACCGACTAATAGTGAACAAACCTGATAGATTCTGAAACGTTTCGACACTCGTTCTCAAATCTTAGTATAAGATCAGGAATAGGCATCATTCCTACAAAAAAAATTGCATTAAAATCAAAATCACAATATTCCTTTTTCTTGAGAAAGAAACAAAAATGCACTGGCACAGAGGGTGTCCACTATCCAGCAATGATTTCACGTCAACTAAAATGAGCAGCAAATATGTAGATGGATTATTTCTTTTACCTGTGTTGGATTAAAGTTTTGCTACAAACAAGGAAAGAATGTTTCTACTCCTACGTTCCAACAAATTTCAAACAAACAAAAGTAATACAAGCTTGTACCATATGGAATTTGAACCTTGAAAAAGATTATTTTTATTCAAATTTAATAATAAAAGGAAGATAAAGAACATAAATCTTTCTAGAAACCATGAAATATAAATAAATGTACTTGTGGTACCTGTCAAAGAAGAATCAAACAGAGAAGCAAACAAATTAAATATATTTTCTGCATCATCTCCCAACGAGTCGCCTTCTTGCTTGCAAACCTTTAACGAATACCGTACTGAGTCAAAACCATCATCCATGCCAGGGATACCAGGAATATCAGCAGACAACCTCCTTTTAGAGGAATACAGAGACTTATCATCCAAGTAATCAGCATCGAGACTTTCAACCTCTTGTTTAATATTTTCAAGAATAAGGGCAGCATTAGTAGGACTATGAATGTTTTGGCCATCGTAAAACAGCCCACTTTCACTTAATTTGGAAGCAGAGTAATCTGGCTGAACTGAATCACCTGAATTTAAGTGCCTTTTCCTGCAAACACAAAATTGCATAACAGAATGTTGCCACATAAATTTAATAAATGCAATCGGAGAAGACAATTAAGCTCTCTCGCTCAAAATGAATTTCAAATTATGCAAAACAATCTTCAAGTAAAGTACAGCAACGGCAACAAATCTAAGGGAGTTAAGATTTCAATACAAAATTAAGAAGTAACTCATTAATATCATCACATACAAGTAGGGGTGGAAATAAGTCAGGCCGATAACAGGGGCCTACAGGCCAAGCCTGCACAGACTAAGGCAGGTCAAGCTTTTCTTTAATAGAAAAGGCCTAGGTTTTTTTTATAAGCATATTTAGTTAAAAAGGTTAGGCCTAAGGCCATGAAAAAAAGTCTTTTAACTCTAACAGGCCAGTCTATTTAAATAAATATGAATAATTTTTTTATTATCATTAAGTTATGTTTTGTACTTTGAATTAAAATATATAAATAAAAATTGGTTATCTTTGATAACTTATAAAAATAAGATGAAAACACCTTATGAACAATGTTTTAAGTTATTTTCATAAGTTATCTTAAACAAATAATCTCACAAAACTTATGCTAATAGGTAAGTTAAAATAAGTCAATGTAAACAAAATTTTAATCTCATTGGTTTTTTAGTCTGTTAGTCTATTTTAAATAATAGGCTACGCTAACCAGACCTTAAAAAATTAAGGACTTAGGCTTAAAAATAAGCCTATGCCAGACTACAGACCAGGCTTAGGCTTCAGTTTTTTGACAAGTCAGACTTAGGCTTCAGTTTTCTTGGCGGAGCAAGCTTAGGTTTTGAAAGCCTAGCTTGGCTTAGCCTATTTTCATCCCTACATACAAGACTAATACCAACAAAAAAAATAAAAATAAAAAGCATTATGAGCTTAAGCTTCACTCAACGTCGAAGTGGCACTAACAATTAATTAGTGAATTCTGCAACCCTAACCGCACTCGCTTTTTTTTTTTGCAATTGATAAACTTAAACCTAGCATCAGCTGTAAATGCATAAACCCCTAGCTCAATGAAAACTGGGAAACTCAATTGAAGAAAAATGGAAATTAAGAGGAAAGAGAAAAGAAAAGATTACCCGTATCTGCGGAACTCTCGCGCAGTGAGGTCTTGAGGATCGAAGAAAGGAGAAGCTGTTGACATTTCTTCGTCCATTGTGATTTTTGGTCACCCTAGAAACCCAAAACCCACACTGATACTGATTTTTCAGGGCGGGAAGGGAAGACTAGCGTTTTACTTTGATGTCTTTGGTTAAACCCTTATACGAATGTCAATATTAAAAAAAATGCATTTTGTTATTCATTTTTCTTCCAGCATGTGTCATTTTATGTTTCGCTTTTTTTTTTAACAACTTTATTTCAATTGTCTTTTTTTACAAGTGATAAAAAAGAAAAGAAAAAAATAAGAAATTAATTTTACTGAAATGAAATCAGTTAGGATCATGATTCTTATAATTTGTTTCTTTATCAGCTTTATATTTTATTAAATAATCAGTATTAGGGTATTGACGGTACGGTTTTAACGCTATAAATCATCTTAACCGAAAGATAAAAATATATGTGGTTTGATTTAATTTGGTTGGTTTTTAGAATTAAAATTAAATTGAACCAAATCAAATTAATGTGTTTTGGTTCGGTTCAATTGATTCGATTTTTTAAAAAAAATGTATTAAGTCATAAATACACATAACTTCTAAAGATTGGCCTAGTAGTTAAGATTTGGATCTTGAGAGTATCCTTCTCTCAAAATCTCATATTCAAATGAAGTTATTCTCTGACTTTGAAGAGAGAAGAATATAATTAAAATAAGAATGAAATAAAAAGAATATAAGATAGTAGATATTAGAGTTATGGAGATTTGAAAATGTTGAAACTTATCAGTAATCGCAATGTTAAGGCATAATGTTAAGTGAAATTTGGGTTGTAAAATATAATGCGGTTTGGTTTGGTTTGCAAAATACGAATCGCGAACTGAACTGCGCGGTTTTGTTAAAAAAATTGTCAAAACACATTAGAATCAAATGCGGTTTTTTGTGGTTTCGATTTGGTTTGGTTTGGTTTCTAGTTTTTTATTGGGTCAGTTCGATTTTCAACACTCATAGTCAACGCAAACATTATTCTTCCTAAGAGTATGACATATTTGAACTTATCATTCCATAGATAAAAGTTCTTTAATGTAAAAATGAATCATGACATAATGGTGTCAAACATTACCAGACCCTGAGATAAGCTTGATAACAGAATTAAGGTCAAAATAACACACTAGTTTTTGATGTTAAGCTCCCAGGCCATTCATTAACTGGGATATATCGTCATGCACTCAACATTAAGGATGTTGGAATAACCAATATTACCCGTAAAACCTTGAATTTAAGCTTTATCGGCATTTTGAATCAATCCATCAAAACTCAAAACATCGGAATTACCAAAGTTAATATCATCAACATTCAAAATCATATTATTACCTTTGTATGCATTCCACGTGATCGTTCTCGTTGGACGAGATAGATTATGTTTGAGAAAATATTTACATAACAAATTAGCATAGTTCACTATGATGAGTTTCAAAATATATGAAGATATCACTTCATTTGTAATATACTATTTGTTCCTAGCGCGCCACAACTATCAACAACTAGGCAAAAAGATAGAGTCACCATCGATATCATGTCCAGTCCAATCATATAAACTATTTCATTTGAAGAATAGTGAGTTAAACAATCCAATATATTCTCAAAAGTGAATAGCAAATTCTCAGTCTCTTAATTAGTGTAAAGTCGTTTCAACGTCCTGGTTGCATTTATGATAGAGATTTGTCTGGATCATACCACAATGAGATAAGATCGATCTTATAAGAAGGGATTTATGTAAAGTTGTCCAAAGCAAAAATTTCACCTTCTTATAAGCAAGAATATGTCACATTCACTTCCACTAGTTATTGTTTGTTGTATTCTTAACAAATTCAAATACGTTGACCCAACTTTTATCATCGTGAATAATATAAATACCATATAATTATATTTCCAAATTAACCGATCAGATGCCATAAAATTTAAACAAATAAAAAATACTTTCAGACGGTCACAAATAACCACAAGAATTTAATTTGTAATGAATTAGAATTTCAGTTTTCTTCCAAATAAATATCACTCACTTGCATTTTTAAATTGTGGATATTCACTTACAGAAATAGTAACTTAATTTTGGAACTGCACTAATAAATAGCAACTCAATTTATTCAAATTTAGTGGAACTCTCACCCGATTGCATGTTGAATTATTTGTCAAAGTTGAATGCCTTTCAAACTCCACATAGTATTATTTCATCTTAAAATATTTTGAATATTTCATAAAAATTAAAAATTAAAACACGTAGTTAATTTTCTATATGAAAGAGAGGCTATACACTACTTTAAGGAATTACCATTCATTTATATATCCTAAAATTCAAATAAAAATGTATACCTGACCATATGCTTTTATTTATAAATAAATTAAAATTTTAAATAGAGCTTAATGATTGTATTATCGCTATAAAAAATACTACACATTCAATTAAAATATTTTAAAATATTAAATAATATAAATAATTAAAATACATAATTATCATTAGTGTAAAATTTCACTGCACCATTCTTTTCCCTTTAAAATAATAATGTCATTAGGGTATAGATCTCATCCAAATTAAAAGTGACTTAAGAATTTATCAATAATAATATTTTTTGATATTTAAAATGAATTATAACTTGAGGTTTCTTTTTAAGTTTTATTTATGATTTAGGATGAAAATAATATTAAATACTTTTTATCAATATTGTTGTAAACTATTTATTAGAGAGAAAAATGAAATATAATAAATAAATAATAAGAAATATTATAAATAATTGACAAATTATTTATTGAAAAAATAAAAATGCGAACATTACAGTACTTTAAACTTTATTGAGTATAGTATTAATCATCCAATTATTCAAAGAGGTGTTAGAGAAGCGATTTGGGTTCTCAATCTGCTTCCCGCTGCGAATCTCTGTAACACGAGTGAGGATGAGAGGTGGAAAAAGAACCGCGAAGAAAGAAGAAGACGAAGTGGAACAAATGTTACGCGCCGCACAAGACGAGATTCTCTTAAACCTCTCCCTCAACTCTCACTTATCTCGTCCTTCTCCTTCTTCCTCTACTATTCTCCGTCCCAATCCCGATCCTGATTTGGATCTCGATCTCGACCGTCGATTTCAAGCCCTAAAAGTAAATTCCAAATCTCAACAACCGTTGGATCCCTCCACCAGATTCGATGCACTCAAAGCCAAATTGCATCATCCTGTGAACGCTAACGACGTCGTCTCCGCATCGGAACCGCCGTTTCAATATGAAGAAAGTGACGAGGAAGATGAAGAGGCGCAAATTCAGAAATTGATCGAATGGGCGAAAGATGCTGCGCGGCTTGATCCTTCTCCTCCGTCTCCGGCTGTTTCAGACGATGAAGATGACGGACCGTCTGTATCGGACGATGAAGAAGACGAAGATGATGATCACCGCAAATCGTTGAAATAGTTTTTTTTTTCGCAATGATTATATCATTTTTTATTTTTAGTTTTTATTTTTAATTTTTATATATCAGATACTTTTGTTAGTTTTTACTTGTTAGTACTGGATTCGTATGTGCATTATCCCTTTTAATAGTAGTGATTTAGAAAATTTATGACCATATACAGGTTTTTTTATTCGATGCTGAATTATATATTATTCTTTAATAATGCAAATTTTATAGAGATAGAAGATTAATGTTGTTGTTGTTGTAGCATTAGTAGAACAATGATAATTAAGTACTCTGTTGTTGTTACCGTGATAATGAGGAAGAGGAAGAAGAACAAATTAGATATGAAGCTTGCAGCATTCAAAATAATGAATAAGCTCACTGGGTTTAGGCTAAAGATGTGATTAAAATTCAACTGATTGATGTAATTAAATAAAATGTTGCTCAAATGCATCATAAGAAGAAGACTAAAAGAAGTTCCACCTTAGCAAGATTTTTTTTTTGATGTGAGAAACCTTCCACCTTAGACTCCCAGATTACAAGGGATAATATAATAAATGTAAGTAATATATAACTCATACACCTATCACTTTAAGATTTTGGATGAATACGTGGTATCTCTCTCACTTGTGTTGCACTTTGCCTAATACTCCATTGGTTGCTCTTGGCCTAATACTCCATTGGCTACATAGGCCACTGCAGAAAGAGAATCTGATTGAATTATCATCTTATTCATCTTCAACTCCAAAGCAAGAACCAAAGACCAACGGATTGCGAGGATTTCTGCGACCACCGGTGTCACAGTCCTGCAATCTTTTCTGTTGGCAACAAGGAAAATTTCAGAGTCGGGATTCCTAATGATACATCCATAGCAAGCAACCTCTCCCTCCACAATTGTGGCATCCACCTGCATCACAAAAACCTTTCCAGTAGTTTGGTTAAGATCCGGTTTAGCAAGATCTGCATTCCTTCGCCCCGTCCCTGGGTTAGACCTGTTGAATTCATCCACAAAGTTTAAAGCTTCAAGGGTCGTCGTTTGAGGTTCTGTCATCTTCTACTCGTACACAAGGGAGTTACGCGCCTTCCAAATTTTCTGCACCATAGTGCACAACAACTGCGTGTTTAACAAGTCTCCACACTTGAGGATGCTCGAAAGTCATTCCTGAATGCACAGATCCACAAGAGCCTTGTATCCAATAATTGAAGAAAGGAAAACTTGTTTAGCATAAACACAATTCAAGAAAAGATGGTGGCTGGTTTCCACCTCAGAATTGCAGAAGGAACATAAAGGATCCATTTGAATTCCCCTCCTGCGTAGGTTGTCCTTGGTGGACAGAACATTTTTTGCCAAAAGCCACAGAAAATTTCGAGTTCTGACATGAACTTTTGTCCTCCATATTTCTTTCCATAACCTTTGAAAGGGTATACTAGAAGTTCCAGGAGGCTTTACACCTTTGATATGTTGACAGAGGTGGTAAGCTGTTTTCATAGAATACTCCTCATTTCTCTCGAAATGCCAAAGGAGACGGTCTTCATTGTCTCTAAAAGAAAGTGGAATGTTGGTGGTTTGTTTGGCATCCTCAGGATCAAAACAGACCTCAATTACACCCTTCTTCCAAGTTTTAAGATATTCATCAATAAACTCTTTCACTTTTGTGTTCTCTTTGATACCTCATACTGGCATAAAAATCTTGAAACTCGGACTGTCATGAATCCAACTATCAGAGCATGGAACGACCTTTTCCCAATTTCCAATTCTCCATCTAACTCCACTGTTTATGATCTCTCTTGCACTCAAGATACTTCTTCCAATCGAAACTTGGTGCGTAACCCAGAGTACTTTCCCCTATTGTAGTTCTTGGGTAATATCTACCTTTGAAAACTTTCCCAAATAACGAGTTCTCGTTAGTAAGAAGACACCAATAGTGTTTTCCCAAAAGGCTTGTATTAAAATCAATGAAGCTTTTGATCCTAATCCCCTTTCTCTCTTACTCTTTGCAAGTTTTTCCCAACTCATCCAATGGACTCTCTTAGCACCACCACGAGCACCCCACCAAAAGTTGGCAATGATGGACTCAATCTCTTTACAAATGGAATCATGAAGCTTGTAGCAACTCATGATGTATGTAGGAATAGCTTACGCAACAACTTTGATGAAGGCCTCTTTTCCCACTCTAGACAGTAACTTCTCTTTCCAACCCTTAACCTTCTACCACATCCTATCAGCAACCAGCTTGAAGATTTCTTTTTTTGACCTGCCAAAAACCACAGGGAGACCAAGATACTTTGTGTGACACGGGACATTTCTGACTTCCAACTTTGCCCGTAACGCCTTTTGATTCTCATCAGTCACATTCCTGCTAAAGGAAACCTCAGATTTATCGAGGTTCACCACCTTCCCAGAAGAATCTTGATACCTTCCAAGAATTGCTAAAATCTTCTCAGCTTCCTCTTGGATAGCCATGGCAAAAAGTTGTCTATTGTCAGCGAAAAACAAGTGAGTTATAGTAGGAGCCTTTCGAGCCACTTAGATACCATGGAGTTGTCTACTAGTCATCTCCCAATTGATTAAACCTGAAAGAACATCATCATACAATATGAACAGGGGAGAGAGGATCTCTTTGAAGGAGACCCTTTTTCGGTAGAAAACTAACACTGGATTGCCCATTGATTAGGACTGTGTAAGTAACTGTAGAAATACACTTGCTGATAACATCAACAAAACTTTGAGGGAAACTCGTTACAGATAACACTTTAGTAATGAAAGCTCATTCCAACCTGTCATAAGCCTTCGACATATCCAACTTAAGTGTCATGATTCTCTTATTCCCTTTAGTCTTTTTTTTCATCCAGTGGAAGCACTCCATTACCACTAATGAAATATCCCTAATGAGACGACCTTGAACGAAAGCACTTTGTTCCTCATCGATGATGTTTGGAAGAATCCTCTTGATCCTGTTAGCAGTGGTCTCTGTGATTATCTTCATGATCACATTACAAAGACTGATAGGACGAAACTCCTTAGCACTTAAAGGGAGCTTGCACTTTGGAATCAAAGCAGTACGAGTAATGTTAAGTTCTACTGGATCTGCATTATTGTTAAGCACTTCCAAAACCATGTTGCTGATATTTGTCCCAACTGTACTCTAATACTTCTGATAGAATAGGACAGGCAAACCATCAAGACCAAGGCTTTTGACGGGTTCATCCACCTTTATTCTTATAGTGGTCCATAGGATAGTAAATGTTACTGCAATTATGAGATGGATAAGTTCATGTGTCACTACAATTACTAAGTATTATTTGGAAAAGTTTGTACAGCTGGAGCTATAACGTATATGTTTTATATATAAACTATCCTTAGTTACAATTTTCAAATAATATAAAACTATTTTGATCAGTTCCAAACAAGAACCATCCACTTCTCTTAACAAATAGAGTCAAGAAGATCTCTATTTAGCTTCAATCTTTATACACCCGTATATTTTTAGATTCATTAGTTGATAAAAGCAAGATATTAAAGAAATAAAAATAAATTCACTTGATTTTGATGAAGCTTAATTGAAGGATACATGCAAATATGCAGATTCCATGTTCCAACCACCACTGTACAAAACTCTATAAGTAAACTCATTAAAGCCCTTCTCCTCAAGTTATTTATACCACTTGAGTTTTGGGGTATGACTTAAGATCAAAATATATATCCCGCTTTTGTTTAAGCATGAGCGCGCTTTTGTTTAAGCATGAGCGTGGTGTGGGTTATAAGGTGATACTATAATAAGAAATATGTACTTTTTTAGGTAATTATAAATATGTATTATTTAAGTGATACACACATGCATATATAGCACAATAAACTTTTTAATTTAAGTGATACACACATGCATATATAGCACAATAAACTTTTTAATTAGAGGTGTAATTAAAATTAATAACAATATAAATAAATTAAATTAATATGGTAAATAAGCAATGACCGTTTGGCAAATTATTAAATACAATTGATGTGATATAATATCTATTTTCTTACTAGTAAGATATAACCGTGTTCTCGCACGGGTAAAATTATTTGATATGATTTAAAAGATATTCAAATTTATATATAAATTTAGTATAATATAAAATATATTTATATACGTATTTAAATTTGAAATTAACAATGATTATATAAATTCAATTGTATTAAAATACAAAGAAAAAAAAGGAACTCGTGAGATAAAAAAAAATTAATATTTAAAAATAAGAATTTTATCTTTCAAATTAAGATAATTATTGATTAATATAAAATATGTATTGTGCTAATAGTGACCCGTGAAATAGAAAGTTTATTTGATATAATGTAAATGTATTTATATAAATATGTAAATTTAAAATTAGTTACTTAATTTTAAAATGAAAAATATTTATATAAACTCAATTGTATCAAATAATTATGCAAAAAGGAAAAAATGACTCGTGAGATGAAAAAAATTATTTTGAAATAAAGATTTTGTCTTTCAAATCAAGACAAATTGTTGATAAAAATAAAATAGAAATTGTACTGATAATAACCTGTGAAATAAAAAAAATGATATGATATAAAATATATTTAGATACAAATGCAAAATTTAAAATAATTTACTTAATTGTAAAATAAACAATAATCATATAAATTTAATTGTATCAAAAGAAAAAAAAATAAAAATAATTGTTGATTAAAATAAAATAGATGTGTTGAAAGTGACGCGTGAGATAAATAAAATTTTAATTTTATTAAAATTAAAAAAATTGATTAATAGTATTTTTAGCGATAATAAATAGATAGAAAAAAAATAAAATGAAAGGGAAAAGTGTGGGAAAAAGGAATGTGAGAAAACTTTGAAATTTAAATGAAAAGAGAAAATGAGTGTCACTTGTCATGTTGTAATAGTAGATGAGAATGAAAAAAAAGTAAATATTAGTTTATCACTAAAATGTCCTTTTGATGGTGTAAATAATTTGTGATGAAAGGGTAATTTAGGGAGTTCATACAATTGAA